TCTGAAGAAGGGTCTAGGCCCGAAACGTCGGCCTTCCTGCTCCTCTGATGCTGCTTGGCCTGCTGTGTTCAGCCAGCTCTACACCTTGTTATCTCTGGAAATGAACTTTGTTGTCCACATTCAGCAGTAAACTGCGTCACCAATTTCTAACTTTCTCCCTTTTGGCCTTCTTCTTATAGATGAGGATAGTGATGTGTTCCTAACAGTTTGGAACATGATGCCAGCCAGAAGTATACCCTCATACACCTCCACCAGGTCCTGGCTGATCAACTCCTGGCTGATGAACTAACCTGGAAATTTGTTGCTTCAGGCAGTGGTTAAGGCTAGCAGATGATTTTCTCTAAAGGTGGATCATAGGAGGTTGAGAGGTGACCTGATAGAAGTTAATAAAATAATGAGATAATAGATAGAGCTGATGGTAGTTGTCTTTTCCCTAACATGAGGAGTTTCAAGACAAGGGGGCACAGTTTTAAGGTGGGAAGAGAGAGATTTAAAAAAGACGAGGCAATTTTTTTACTCAGAAGGTGGTTCACATCTAGAATGAACTTCACACCTTGACACCTAGAATGAACTTCCCGAGGAACTGATGGATGCAGGTACAATTATAACGTTTAAAAGACATTTGGATGGATAGATGCATTGAAAAGGCTTGGAGGAATATGGGCCAGGAGCAGGCATTTGAGACGAGTTTAGTTTGGGATTACGTTTGGTATGGATTGGTTGGACCTAATAGTCTATTTCCGTGCAGTGTGACTCTCTGACTCAATGACATCAGTGAACCAGATGAGTTTTTATGACTGTGTGATAGTTGCCATAGTCGCCATTAATGAGTCTAGCTTTCAATTTCAGATTTATGAAAAAGTTGAATTTAAATTTCACCAGTTGCTTTGGTGGGATTTGATTCTATGTCGCCCAGGCATTGTTCTGGGTATTTGCCCTAGAGAAATCACCAGTTGTCACCGTCTCCTCCAATCTGCATATTGACCACGCCCAGCACTTTTGTCACCGGCGGACTACAGATCCCAGAAAGCTTTGCGGCCGTTGACATCACTGTTCGGAGTTTGTCATTGCTGAAACGGTCGGAGTCGGCTCTAAGATATGATGTAAAGAAAATGGTACGTTGAGTTGTGTTTTTGAAGAAAAGAAGTATCAATGTTCTTCTTTGTTTGTTGTCACAATATAACTGGTGATGGGTAGCTTGTGAAAGAAGATTTGACACTTAGGCCTAGATGCGGTCTTGGCTGCGTTCGGCTCTACACGGCTCACTCTTTCCCCCTCAGCTATGGTTGGTCTTGAAGGTAAAGGCTGTCATATGTCGCCGACGTTCTGGTTATATTTTTGCCCTACTGTCTGGAAAATCCAGTTGGCCCGACAGGTTGAGGCGGGGCGGGGGAGGGGGTGGTTGGAGTGCAGAGTGAAGCGTGTGTTTCCGGATCGTTCTATCTGTTCCGGGCAGGAGCTGCTGGCCGGGATTGCTCTTTGTGTGTGTTAGTAATGTTTGTCGGTGATGAATTGTAATGCACGCATCTGCTAATTATATCGAACTATTTCTTGATTGACTCTCCCTCCTTTGTTTGTAAATAAATCAGGCCTGTGGTTTCAGCAAATTGCTGACCGAACAGCTGCATTCATATATAATGCTACGGATACCTGAGTAGTTGTATTTATTCAAAACTCATTACCTTTAAGAGTACAGTTTTTTTTAATTTATGGTTGGCATCTGAGCTTGCGCTTTTTACTAGGCACGTTAAAGTTGTCTTTCTGTTACAATTGGTTTCCTATTTTAGTATACTATTTATGTTCGTGTTGACACATTGTTCAGCGAGGTGAACGCTTTCGTTTCTGAGTTGCACTTCACGACTATCTACCGTCTGAGAACTTTTTTTAACAGCCAGCTTGTTGCTGTTGTATTGCGGGAATCGCCGCTATAAATCTGTGCACATCAAAGACTGAAATTCAAAACGTGATAATGAACAGTTTTTTTTATTATAAGCTGTTAATTGAACGCTAAATACAATCTAAACCGCTAAAGAGAGTTTCCCTAATAAAAACCGAAAGAACTGTGGATGCTGTAAATCGGGAACAAAAACAGAAGTCGCTGGATAAGCTCAGCAAGTCTGGCAACATCTGTGAAGAAAAAGTCGGAGTTAACGTTTCGGGACCGGTGACCATTCCTCGGAACTTCCTGTTAACTTCCCAGTTTTTGAAACAGTATATCGGAATCTTCTACAGCCAATTTTTAGTCACTTGTAGGACGAGCGCGTCTCTGGCTTGCCAGCATTTATTGCCCGTCCCTAGTTGCCCCTGGGAAATACAGTGCTGAGCTGCCTTCTTGAACAGCTGCAGTCGGTGTGCTGTAGGTAGATCCACAATGCCCCTGTTGAAGGAATTCCAGGATCTTTACCCAGCGATAGTGAAGGAACGTGGATGGATTCATAGAATCCCGAGCGTGTGGAAACAGGCCATTCGGCCCAACAAATCCACACCGGCCCACCAAATTGCATCTCTCCCAGGCCCATCCCTCTACTGCTTCTCTGTAACCCTGTATTTCCCAAGTCTAATCCACCTAATTTACACACCCCTGGACACTATAAGCAATTTAGCATGGCCAATCTACCTAATCTGCTCATTTTTGGACTGTGGGAAGAAACTGGAGCACCTGGCGGAAACCCATGCAGGAATGTGCAAACTCCACGTAGACAGTTGCCTGAGGATGGAATCAAACCCATGTCCTTGGCTCTGTGAGGCAGCCGTGCCAACTGCTAAGCCATCGGGAACTTGCAAATGGTGGTGTTTCCATGTATCTGCTGCCCTTGTCCTTCTCGATGGAAGTGGTTGTGGGCTTGGAAGGAACCATTTAAGGAGCATTCTTGTAGGTAGTACACACTGCTGCTACAGCGTGTTAATGGTAGGGGCAGTAAATGCTTGTGGATGTGGTACCAATCAAGCAGGCTCCTTTGTCCAGGTTGGTGTCAAGGTTCTTGTGTTGTTGGAGCTGCACCCATCCAGACAACTAGGGAGTATTCCATCACAGTCCTGACTTGTGCCTTGTAGATGGTGGACAGGCTTCAAGGAGTCGGGTGAGTGTTCCTAGCCTCTGACCTGCCTTTGTAGCCATTGTATTTAAATGGAAAGTCCAGTAATTTTTTGGTAAATTGTAATCCCTAAGATACTGATAGTGGGAGATTCAGTGATAGTAACACTATTGATTGTCAAGGGGTTAGATTGCCTGGCATTTGTGTGGCATGAATGTTACTTGCCATCTGAGGGGTGGGCAGAGTCTTTTAGATATCTTGATCAAGAAGAGAGCCTCCAACAATGCAGCACTCAACTTGAGATTTTTTGTGCTCCTGACCAAGAGTGGAAGTCTGGCTGAGCAGGGAATGTTAACAACTGTGTGGATTCTTATGCGGGAGCCAAGCAATTTAGGCTAATCTCGAAGTTTTGTAAACCAGCCAACGATCTCGTGGTTTATAATGTTTTATACCAAACGGTATATTTGTTTATTAATGCTTTAAAAATCATCCTGTTAACACTTAGAACTAAACAATTCTTCCTAAAACTGTTCCAACTTGCCTCTGTTGTGCAAACACCAACCTTCCTCAAACATATCTGGTTAGTACTTCTATCCTTTGTATTTAAAGAACTACAATTTCAGGATAATAAAATACTTGGTTAACTATTTGGTTTCTTCATATTCACATTTCATAGAGTAGAAATGGATTTAAAAAAACATGCAGTGCTGTTACTTCTGCAGGCGATGAGCGGGTAGTTGTAGGTTAAAAAAAAAATATGGAAAAATGGCAGTTTAAGTCACAACAACCTGTCTCACAACTAGAATTTTATTTTCTTGATGATTTGAAAACTGAAAGGAATTCAACAAGTATTATGAAATTATAAAGTTTAAAAAATGTATGTACTTTTCCTCATTGTGCATTTGAACAAATGAACACTGGACCAACTTGACATTACCTAATTTCAAGTTTGAAAACTCAAATCTGTCAACGCGCATACATTTCATTCAAAGACTTATTTTGTACAAACAAAATATCCCTATTTAAAACAATCCTGAATAAAACTGTTCAGTAACCAAGAAAATATGCCAGTTGTGTTCAGATTTATAGCCGCATTTTGTTTAAAAATAATAACTAATTTCAAAATGTCGCGTTGCAATACTTCTCAAAATTTTCATGTGACTGGAATAAAAATTCTCCATATTTAATGAATGCTCATTTTGTTTACAGATGTCTGGTGTAGAAATTAGTACTGGGCCTTCAGAACTTGAAGGGGAAATGAGTGGTCCCTGTTCAAAAAGACAAAAAACGGAGAGTGTTGCTGAAGAAGGTGAATGTGATTCCACTGAATTTCCCGAGAAAGAAAAAACAAATGGTGCTGAGCCGCAAAAAGAAACTGAATTCTGTGCCCCACATGCCGATTCAAGCTCTCTGAGAGAAAACATTGCGAGTGAGTCTTCAGTTTTGAAACTCGAAGAGGACAATGGGCACCATAATAAAAATGGTATTGCTGTGCCTGAAAGCAATGCTGACCTTGAAAATGAATTAAGCCTGTTTTATAAAGAATTGGAGAAAATTGAAAATGAGACTGATTTGCTTCTTAATGAATGTGTAGATGATTTACGAAGTTCAGAAAAAAGTCAAGAAAACACGACAGTGGATAAACGTGAAGGAAATAAAACTGGGAAGATATGCAAAAAGACTACAAATGGGAAACATAAGGCTCAAGATGAATGTGACCCATGTACTGGTAGATCACAAATTCCAACTTCTGAACACTTAGGTGATGCACGTTGGCATAATATCTTGTCTCCTGCAAGGCCTCAGTGGAATCAGCCACAGCCCTTTATTGGTCCACAAAGACCACGTCTGCTGAGTTTCAGTATCCCATTTGCTTATCAAAGATACAGTGGCCCAACACAGGAGCCAGTGCCTTTTCCTAATAACAAACCACATTTAACTAACAAGTTTGGCAGTAACTGCAACAGTACTGCACCATTCCAAGCTAGAGATGAGTGTTGTAGTATTTGGCCATTCCCCAGTACTAACAATGCAGTGCAACCTGGGCATAATTATTTTCATGATTATTATCCACGTGAAAATATGGAGCGTCAATCCGATCTACTGGAGCTAAGTATAAATAACTTGTGTCAGTGGCATCAGAAAACAGAACAGTGGCATTTAAAACCAGGAATTGGAGATAAAGTTCTCATATTTATGCGTGGTCCACCAGGCTGTGGAAAATCCACTCTTTCACGGTAAGCTTAATTTGGATTGCTTGCAATTCACACATTAACTTTAAAAATGTGCAGTTTCTGGACAAAAAGCTGTGTCCTTCTCCAGGAAGAGTTTCAGTTACTCATGTCTGTTTGAATAGTCGTGGGTTTAGCTGCATTACTTTTACCCAAAACACTCTGTATCTCGTTCTTTTATTCATCTCTATTGCACTCAGCAATGTTTTCCTTTGGTTTCGTAGTTACAGTTAAAGGTACAGTTTGATCTGTTATCTTTTCCCTCACATACTCTTGCATATCATTGTATGTTCCATTGTCTTCCTATCAATCTGAACAAATGTATCCTATTTTATTATAATGGAAACACTTAGTCCTTTAATTTTTCTCTTCTGCCCTCAGCATCTTCCTTTCTGATCTGAAAAGGGGATTTTGGGGCATTCTCAACTGTCCTCTTGTTAACCTAGCTACTTGTCTTCCTTTCATGCTCCTACCACCATTCCTCATCAAATTTATGTAGATGAGAGGCAAGAAAAGTTTGGTTTTTTTGCATCAGCTCAATTGTCAATCATTACAGCTGCCTAGCTAGTAGTTGCACTTTCTGGCCTTCAGCATGTGTTCAAATTTTTTAAAAAAGCAATGAATTTCAAAGAGTACAATTCCTCTGCGAGCTACGTGTATGGTATTTATTCCTAATGCCTGTATCTACCTGCCGGAATTACTTTAATTTATCCTTTGAAATTCAGTATAGCTTTGTTTTCTCAAATTTCTGAACTTTTGCCTGTATGATTCAGGGACTAACTCATATCCCATTCATAATGCTTAGAAACTTCGACCAACAGTGATGTAGAAATTTTATGTGCTCCACTTGTCAACTTGCTTTGCATGGGCAATGTCCAGATTTTTATTTATCATTTAATTTATTTGGTTATTTTCTCAGTCATGGAGTCATACAGCGTGGAAACAGACCCTTCGGTCCAACTCGTTCATGCTGAACTAGACGTCCCAATCTGTCCTAGTCCCATTTGCCAGCATTTACCCCATTTCCCTCTAAACCCTTCGTATTCATATACCCATCCAGTAGCCTTTTAAATGTTGTAATTGTGGCTGCCATACATGTTCCATACACACACCGCTCTCTGCATGAAAAAGTTATCCCTCAGGTCCTTTTCAAATCTTTCCTCCTGCCATCTAGTTTTGGACTACCCCACCCTAAGAAAAAGACTTTGGCTATTCACCCTATCCATGCCCCTCGTGGATAAACTTAGCTAAGGTCACCCTTCAGACTCCAATGCTCCAGGGGGGAAAAAGTCCTAGCCTATTCAGCTTCTTCTTTGTAACTCAAATGTGGCAACATCCTTGTAAATCTTTTCTGCGCCTTCTCCGGTTTACTAACATTAACTAAAGGCGATCAGAATTGAATATAGTATTGTAAAAACAAAAAACAGAAGTTGCTGGAAAAGCTCAGCAGGTCTGGCAGCATCTGTGAAGAAAAAAAAATCAGAGTTAACGTTTCGGGTCACCTCACCAATGTCCTATACAGCTGCAACATGACATCCCAACTTCTATACTCAATGTCCTGACCAATGAAGGCAAGCATGTGAAATGCCGTCTTCACCACCCCGTCTACCTGTGACTGTACTTTGAAAGAAGTATGCCTCCACATCCTGTTGCTCAAATTTTGAACGGAACTGTAGAAATTTTCCCTACTGGCCTTCCTCTCTGGAGCCAGCTTTGACATCTGAAGTACTTTTTTTAAAAATGCATCATTTTAAATTAATATTCCCTATTTCTTTCCTTTTAATATTCCCTTGGCAATTTTAGTCCCAGTTTTCTAAATACTCTCTTTTTCTCTTCTTTCTGAAGTTCTCTTTTTCCTTTTCTCCAAGGTCACATCTTTTAAGTTCTCTTTGTCCCTTTTGATTTTAATTCTTTGTTTCTCTGTTTTGAGCTGCTTTATCACTTTCTCATGTTTAAGCTGCATTTGAATCCTTGAAAAATCAAGTGGTTAGTCACTGTATCTAGTCCTGCCTGTATTTCCACTGTTGTTTTGCCAATGTTTAAATTGCCAGTACCTTTATAGTTTTGACAGGCAATTCCACTTTAATTGATTTACTAATTCCAGCAGTCTGTTTTTTGTTAATTCCTGAAAATGCATTATGGGTACCTGTTCCAACTGCAGGATGGTTTTGTTTTTATCCTTTAGTCCTTTACTGCTTACACCAACTCCATATTTGGCCTTGCCTAATCCCCACTCAAAGGATCTCAGACAATCCCTTAAACTTTTGTTACAACTTAACTGGGAAACATGTGTTAAAATCATGCCCTACTGTTCCACAAGCCATTCCAAAATGAATAAAGCCTGACTTAGACCGCTAAGATAACCAGTATGCCTGATTGATTGCTATTCGAAACAAAGGTAATTCAAACCAAATTTTGTCATTAATAGAAAAATAGTACTATTTATTGGTGCATACATCAAGGTAACAAAAGACTGAAAAAAGGCTATAGATTAGAAATCCTATACAACTTAAAACAAGCCACTTCTGAAACCCTAAATATACACGCTCATTGACAATTAAGACAGAAAGAAGACTGGTGGTTTGACACAGATACTATTGTTGGAGAAAGAGTATAGACTGGGTAAATAAAGTTCTGCAGATCAAAAGTCCAGATTGCAAGATTGGTTAAATTGTCTCATGCAGTTTTTGATGACATTTAGTGCTGATGATGCTGTTCTCTACTTTGACATGTAGAGACTTTTTTTTTGTCCTGTTCTGTGTTTTTTTAAGTTGTGGAATGAGATGAGTGCAATGTTTTAATTCCACAGCAATCCTTGGTTTGCTGTATGTTTTGAAAGTAAGTAACCTGACAGTCCTAGTAAGTACTGTTTACACAACTACTTGTTTGAGCAGCAGTTAAAATGTGGTTGTAGATGAGCTGGTGTCTAGGGATTGCGTACAGATACAGTTTTGATTGGTGCAAGTAGCTGGTCTATGGACTGGTGGCCAGTTGTCAATGGAAAGATCTTCTGCTTGCCAACAGCCATGTGATTGGTTCTCAGGTAACTGAACAGTTTGGGGATGTAATCAAGATACAGAGAAGCTTTCAGGTCTCCACCAGATTCGGAGCTCTTTCTGTTTTCTACAGTAAAAAGCAGTTTAAGCTGGAAGAAAACCAGTTTATCTTTGCTTCATCATCAGTTGCTGTGACTTTTATCAGTGAATCAGCCAGCCGTGCCTCTACAGACCTTGGAAGCATCTGGACAAGGTCAACTGCAAAAGAGCATTCTGATTAGCACAAGAATCATGAGAACCATCTCCACAATCCTGTGAACAGGAAACACTGAACTGTCTTCCCAATCTTTGCCTCCATCTACAACAAGAACCATTTTTTTGTTTGTGTGAGTGCGCACATGCCTATTTTTATAAAGGTACATTTTCTATGGGATTAGTTTTAATTAGTATAGTTATATGTCGATGGTTCATAATTGTTTGCCTGTAATTTGACTTGTAATAGATACTAATTCTTCAGTACAGAAACCTTGTCTCTGCTTTCTGTCAATCTAGATTTATAATGCATGTAAGTTGGTGGAATCTCTGCATATTTTTAAAGAATCTTTAACTTTTGTGATGAATCCTGGAATGATGGGCCTTGTTTTCCAATGCATTACCCCAGTGAGGTATGAAAAATAATTGATCTAGAACTTGGGTCCTGTCTTAGAGTTCCTTATTTTAAGCTTTCTTGGTTTTTCTGTTACCTCCTTGGTGGCCAGCTTATCCCCAGAAAATGGAAATTGAGATGCTGAGGAAAGGGGGACTTGGATGCAAAATCGATGAATTTTTCCAATTCTAGACAGCAGGGGGCAGCATGGATGATGTCTTCAATCTACCAGGGAAAAAGTTACGGGGAAGGACCAGAGTAGGACTGGAACAAGGAATGTTTCACATAACTCTCAGAAACAGAGACCATAAGAAATGGGAACAGGAATAAGCTGTTCAACCGCTCAACCCTGCTTTGCCATTCAATAGGCTCGTGACTGATCTAATATGCGTCATGTTCATTTTCGTCCCTTTTCTTGTAACCCTCCATTTCCCCCACTAGATCAAGAATCTATCTATCCCAGTCTTAAAGATACATGAGGACTCTGCCCCCTTCACCCCATAGTTCTCAGTGATAAGGAGTTCCAAAGACACACAATCCTTTGAGGGAAGAGCTTCCTCCTAGTTTCAGTCTTAAATTAGGGCCCCTTAATTCTGAGACGGTGTCCTTTGGTTCTAGACTGTTACCCCTGATGGGACATTCTCTCAGCATTTACCCTGTCAAACCCCTTCAGGAACAGAGAGGATTCTTAAGCCTAACTGGAGGTTAAGCAGGTACTTGTGGCCATACCTTTGACAAAGTGAGAGAAGTTAATTGTGAAGTTTTTCAAAGTGAAGATGAGCTCAGCCAGCGGAGGAGGGTGGTGTTGGTAGTGATTGAGGCCGTTCAAGCCTTCTCTCAAGGAAAAAGCAGAAAGCTCTCCGACCACCTTGATGGGGCTTGACTTGTAAAGGAATTGCCTGCCCATGGTGAAGAGGAGGTGGCTGCTGCCAGCAAACTGGAAATTTTGAAACTGACGCAAAGCATCAGAAAAATTGCAGATGTAAGTGGGAAGAGACTGGACAAGGATAGAGAAAATCAAGTCAAGGTAGGAAGAAATAAATTCCATGAAACAGGAGCAGGCTGAAGCAGTGGATCTTGTTGGGCAGTTATTTATGGATTTTGGGAAGAAGTTCATAACAAGCTCTGTGAGG